ACAGACACACTGTTTGGGTGTGCATAATGCTAATGGGTCCTGGGATTCATATAAAATTACTTTCAGTGAATTTACTTGGATGTACCCAGTGACAGATGACTTCTTAGCGTCTAGTGGACACACATTTTCTCTGTTGTCACCAAAAATATATACTGAAGGGGACAAATATCAAGAATAACTCATTACAACCTGATATAATCCTGAAAAAAGGAGAAGTGATAGAGCTTTAGTGGTGTTTAAAGTACCAGATAGTTTGGTAGGTACCATAGTTTAAAAAAAAACAACTCTCTCTAAAAACATCCCCCCCCCACCCATCTCAGAAGGTGGCCATTGTTTTATATGTCACTATTTTAACTAAAGATTTCCATTGCTGTAATGATATTCAAAAGGTCTCGGAGCCTTTTGCTAATCTTCCAGTTAAAGAGCCCCTTTAAGAGAATTAAAATTCCAGTTCCCCTTTGTCTCTTCATCATTTCATTTTTGTGGAGGCTTCTATCTTATGTATGTACAATATTCCTGCTTTCATGTTTTAAATTCTCATTTTCTTACTGCTCTAGAGTTTTAGAATGATGTAACCTACTACTTGTTTCTTTTCTTAATCTTATTCTAGAGGATAAAAAAATGTGTGCACCAAACAGTTTCAAAATTTTCCAAAATAAGGAATAAATACTTCTATTTTTTTTAAAAGTTAAATTAGAGAAGTTTCACTGCTCTACAGCATCAGTTCCTAACTGTGTAATGTAAACCTAGCTAGTGGCGCTTGTATACTGGTTGTTGTAATACCCCATTTTGACCCACCCACAAAACCCACTCTGGATCCACCACTGATTTCCTGTGATTGCACAAGTCAATGCAGCGATAAAGCCACATTAAATACACAACATAAATACTACAGGAGGACTACAGCACAAAGGTTTATATAAATATATATGTATACTTTTTTTAAACATCCAACCATTGCAGATACTGGGCCCACTAAATAAAAGAACCATCAAACAAAAATAAATTAAATAAAAAAAAGCTTGCTGCTCTTACATCTAGTGTGCCAGTTACTGTGCAAATCCTGAGAAAGGGAGGAAAAACAAAGAGGTGGGGAAAGTTGACATAAAAACTGAAAAGTTTGGTTCACACAATTATAATAGTAATAGAAAAGAACCCACTAGTTTAAAAGCCTTACAGGAACAAAAAAACTAATGGTGTTCAGGAGCTGTACAGTGCTGACACAAAGCTAACGACAGGAAAAATAAATAAAATAAAAGGCAGTTTGATTTTAATAATTACCACGCTCATGAGTGATGACTGAGGAAGGGAGGACAGGACATTTAGTTCAAAGAAAAGAAAACGGGGGAAAAAAAGAAAAAAAAGTTGAGAATTTGTTTTTAGCAAATACAAGATATATTCAGTATTTTTTTTGGCAAATTAGTTCTGTAAAAAAGAGAAAGATCAAATAAAAAAAAATAACCAAAACAAAAAGCCCTAAAATGAGGAAGCATAAAAATATCTGACATAAGAAAAATCATTTAATGCTGTTAGCAAAGAGTTACTTATACTTGCATGCAAAATTTGTCATTCCTAGTAATATAAGCAGCTGATTTTAAAAAAAAAGTCCATTTCAGAAGCTAACATTATGTACAATAATTTATAAGTAAATATTAAAGGAAATTATGTCCAGAATGTCCAAACATTCTGGAGAATAATTTGCAGTGAAATATGAAAGCAATGTTCAAGCTAGTCTATGCCTTATAAGTCAGAGCAAAATACTGCTCAAGCCACAGGTGTGGGCCCGAAGTTCACCCGTGGAAGTGCTCAAATGAGTCAAGCATGCAGGATTTATTAAACTGTGGGAGCATTTTTGGAGAAAAAGTAATTATGATCTGTCTTAAAGGCATTCAATCAAATTAAACAATTCATGGTTTTGATTTGATGCAAGCACCAAATAACTTATAAATATGCTACGTAAAACAATTACAAGCACTATAACCAATGAAAGGGGCAGTGCAACATGTATGAATTCGGAACTTCAAAATACAACAATGGATAGGCAGTCAAGCTTTTTTTCCTTGTTTTTAAGAATAAAAACCATTGTAAAGGTTTATTTAACTGTGGGATTTAAACAGAGTACAACGAAGAGTATACTTGATAAAGAGGGAGAAATGTGGTTTACTAGTTCTATTATTAAGGTAAAAAAGTAAACCTAATGGTTCCAGACAATCACACTAATAGGATGACAGAACCCACTGTGAGACAGAAGAAAGAAATTGACAATGAACTTGACAACACTGAGGGTAATAAAGTCAAATTGGTTCAAAATCAAAACTAAACCTAAAACAGCATATTTCCCAAAAAGACAAACTGAACAGAATTACTTGTAAAGAAGAAACTTCCATAGAAACATCTTCCAAACTGCAGTTGCAGTTCCTATAACCTCTGATGTTTAATTTAGTGCTTACTAAATTATATAATTTTTATTCAAACCGCAGACAGGTTTACAAATCAGTCGGAACCTTTCATTTTATTTTATGCTAAAACTGGTTAGGGATTTCTGAAACCTTTAATGTAGGGCCTTGTTACATGTTAATTTTAGACAGTTTCTAACCCCTGGATTGTCCATAGATTAACCTGAAACTAGCTTGAAGCACTCTTTAGGAGGCTTAAGTTTATGCCACTCAGCTTAAATTTATCTCTGATCTGTGTTACCCAGCTCATGTTATACTAATGTGTGGCCACTTACCTATCCCCTCCAACCCTGCTAGCCCGGATCAGATTTGTTGCCCCCTGCACAGCCCAGCACCCCAGTTCTCCGCTCACTGCTCCTCTGCCACCTCCCTTCCCCCCCCCCCCCGGGAAGCAGGCAGGAAAGGGTTAACCTGCCTGCCTGGCCACTGCTGCCCCTGCTGTCTGGGCTGGGCTCTGCTGAAAGAGCACTGCCCCACAGCCTAGCAGTGGGAGCAAGGCAAGTAGGATAATCCTTCCTTGCCTGCTTCCCCAGGACAGACAGCCTGGGCAGCCACAAGTAAGTATGTGGGGGGCAAGAGAGAACCCAGAGGGGCAGGGAGAGCCCCAGGGAAGGGGGGCAATCAGGGAAGCCTCAAGGGGCAGGGCAGAAACCTGGAATGGGGGCATGGATTCTTACCTTTCAGTTCTCCAGGTCCTTGCTGGCCTGAACATCTGACTGCTCCAAACTCAGGCTAGCGCTAAAACTGATCAACATTTGAGCAGCTCACAGTATAACATGTAACAAGGCTCATAAATGAATGCTGCTGTTTGTTACTGGAATCTGCTTTCAATTTTACATGTAATTTCTTTCACTGCTTCAGAATTATATAAAGCATTCTTCTGGGATGCTCCCTTACTTTCAGAAATGTAGTAGTGATTTTTTTGGTGTTTAATTATCAGCCATCTGAAGGAATCATATCTTAACTTCAAACTGATATTTCAGTGTGGATTTACAGGGACCCTTATCTAAACAGCTTGCTTCAACGAGGATGAGTGAAAGGTGACAGATCCTTTTTGGTAAGATAAAAATACCTGATCCCTCTTCTGTCACCATGCCGAGGCCCTCTGCTTTGTTCTGACGTTCAAAAGCATTTAAGTCAAGAACACTGTAATGATAAAAGGAAATTCAAATAAATATTTTGACACACTGATTTTTGAAACTATGGGACTGACAACTGGAAGGATAATTATCTTATTAGCTGAAGAACAGAGAACATTTTAGATGATAAGTGAAACATGTAATGCCACTAGAGCTAGTCACATTTTTTAAAATAAAAAACTACTTTACAATGTTGCATTTCTGGAGTAATTAAAGTAATATCAATGACAAGACTTACACTAGACATTATAACTGAATTTGTCTGTAATGTTGACCATCTAGTTTGTTCTGTGTACTCCTTACTTATAAAGCAAGCAATTTCTAAGCCTATTAACTGGATGGTTTACATACAGAAATTTATAACAGTGTCAGTTATGGACTAAAACTTGGCTGTTTGTCAGATCAAGTCAAATATGAGAAGTAGACTGGCAGGAAAAGGCTTTGTTACTCTGATGAGTTCCAGGTATCGGTATTATGTGGACCAATTTGGGGCCACCAGAGTGAACCTAGCCTTTCCTGAATCGATTTTCTTGAGTTTACACAGGATTACAAGGATTGTAGGTGATGTATAAAATATATCCCACATCCATGGAATTAGAAACATATATCCCTTAGAACACAGACTCTGTAATCTGCTGGAGCAAAGGTAGTAGCATTTCTCACAGAGGCGGTCACAGAGAGCTCTGTGCAAGTAATGTCCCATAAACCAAGCATAAATATGATAACTAAATCCATATTTGTCTACTTGAGGTTGTCACAGAAACATCTGCTGAGATAATCTGCCAGTATACTCTGAAAGTCTACAAGGTGGACCACCAATATTCTTATGCCCTTCCTTAGAAAAATGGCCTCTGTATCATGGATAAAATCTAGTGCTTCTGCCCTTTCACATTAAGCATTGTAGGGTGTTGTACATAATTTTTTGGATGCCTTGACCTCTGGTACTGGATTCTCCTGAGCTCCAGAATACTGAAATGGAGATAGGCCTCTTAATGTGACAACTGGCATTGTTTGGTAAACTTTTCATTATGAGTTCTCCACTTCTACTTCAAAGCATTAGTCACTACAGATATAGTAGGGAGCACTGAAAAGAATGGAACATTTTTCCACACCTGCTGCAAATACCTCTGCCAGAGGATTTCAAGACTTCTTCTGGGATGTGCATCTTCCACTTATATTGTATACATCTGGATACTAAGACACCTTCAGCCAGCCCTGCACAGGGTATATTCCCATGGCTGAGAGCCTCGTCAGCTGATGGAACTCCCAGCTGCAGAAGCTTGCTACTTGCTGGTGCAGTGGAAAATCAGGATTGAGATCCCAGACTCCACTTGCACTAGCAATAAGGCATGATGGGATCTGATGCTGGATACAACAATTATGCCTCCTGCCATGCAAGTATGGCATGGCCAGAAGCATGATTGTGGGGATTCCAAATTGGATGCCCTTGTGCCTTTATTTACATATCTACAGGTGCCTTAGTGGCTAGGGACAGAAATTACACATAAACCAAAAGAAGTGATCAGAGACCAGTGCAAATCTGTAATACAACAGAAATTCAGTGCAAATAAACCACTTTCAAAATGGCCAAAACTGGTTTAAGATGAACCTGAATGGATGTGGCATCAGATTTAACTGATTTAGGTTAAATTGCTTAACTGAGCTTCTGTCCCAGATCCTCTGCAGATTCAAGTCAACTCACAGTCTCCCAGCATCCCAGGATGCTTTGCACCTCCCCCTCACTTTGCACTGTACAGGGTAGCCAGCTTAACCTTGGCCCAAGCTGTCTGCTCCAGTGGAGCAAGGAGGTGTGCTCTAGTGTCCCCAGCTTCTGGTCTAGGCCACTGCAGGCATGTGGCTGCATTTCCGGAATCAAGAGTAAATGTCTGTTCCCTTACTTATCGGTTCAATCTACACAGCCAAGACTACTCTGTGAGGATTGAATCAATTCAGCCTCAGGATTTTTGACTATCTGTACTTAGCCAGTGTGGCACACTTGCTCTCCTGAACAAACAAAGCTATGAAACTTCAACTTTGGGAAACAGTCTGTGCAGTGCAGTGAGGACACCTCTCAGGATGCTGCTGCTTTGCCCCATACAGACATATCAATGGAATGTCTGTCATTCAGGGATGTGAGAGCCCCCACATAATGAACAAAAACCTTGGGGATTTTTGATCATCATGGGGTGATATTCTCAGATTAGGGTAAAAATATTAACTAACCTCAACCTACCTTACATGCACACACCCTAACTGAAGTTAGTTACAAAGTGCTATCACATCTGCAAGTCAGATTCCTCCTGCAAGCTATCAGCTGGGACAATAAAAAGAAACTGAGGGCTGGAGAACAGAAATAGGAGTATGGCTCAAAGGAATTTAGCATGAGATTCAGCCAATGGACACTGCAAGCTAAAGAGTTCAACTCCCCATGTTTTGGAGTATATAGGTCAGAAATGAAACATATAAAGATAAGTACTTGAAGAACAAAAAAAGAGTCAATTATATCTTTTTCACAGGAATGGGAGGGGAGGGAGGGGGGAGAAGAGGATTCTTTTTTGTTGGCCACCTCTACTGTTCAAGCTTCTTTACCTCAAACAGTAAGACCTTGAGGGAAATGGAGTACTAGTAGATTATCTGAACCCCCAATGCTTCTTATCTTCTGCAAATCAGAAGCTGAAAATGGGAGTCTATGATCCATCATGCTTTTATTTTTTTTGGAAACATTTACTTCTGTGTTTCCACTTGTCAGTCTATAGGATCCTGACAGCAACTGTCAAGGTACAGCTGCTTATTTCCAGTTCCATGACTTTCCCCAGGCAAGAAAAAAAAATCTCCCAACGCATCAAAACAAACAGCTTCATTCCTTTCTATGCCTTCAAAAACCCCATTAACCTCCTTCCTTATGCAGGTCTTCTTTGGAAATTTGGATAAAAGACCTTTATATAGCATCTTGAAAGCAATCGAATCTGCAACAAGTCATGGACTCATCACTGATAATGACTTACCATATATACTTGAATAGAAGATGACCCTGGTTATAAGACAACCCCCCCAATAATTAAAATCTCTAAACTCTGAAATTAAACATTGCTGTAGCAATTTTCATATAGTACCCATGAACTTAATTTATCCAGAATTGATGCAAGGTACCTTTTTTTGAAACTGCTGCAAGTTTTAGCACATGTAAACACACTTTAGAGCAGTGCTTTGGTACCAACTTATATGTAGTACAAATTATGCATGATAGTATTCCGAAGTCAAAGGCTCATGATTTACCACATGCTTCATTGGACTGGAGCCCACCAGAGTCAACAACATTTCAAGCCATGGTGACCCCACAGCTCAGCACTGCTCAGTATGTGTGTATACTCCAGGTTATCCCCGGCTTCCCCAATAAAGGATCCTTGTGCTAATTAGCCCCCACTCATGACTGGAACCAGGTGTTCTTATCACAAGTCCTGGGATCCTCCAAAAAATTATATGCAGAGGAGGTGCAGGGCAACCTGTCCAGTTTCACCTCAGGGAGGGTAGGGCCACACTAATCACGTGTCCCAGGATCCGAGGGTATGGTGGAGGGATTCTGAGTGAACTGTATGCAGCGTGGTGGTTCACCATGACTTGAAGAAAAAATGGTGTGGAGAGGGACTGTGTTTAATGGGCACTACCATATTTGTTATTCAGATGGGCTAAACTAATCTATTCTTGTGGTAGGTGCCTAATAGCATGTTTGCCCAATGTGGACCACGTGTTTTATAGTCATGCTCAGCGTTGGCTGCATTTATTCAACTTCATAGCTGGTTTCCATTGCTGAGCATATGCTATATTTGGCAGCAACATAATGACAGACTATGTATTTAGTGAGATTTCCTTGTATACCATTATAAGATGAGGGGCTTTTTTCCCCATGCCAGGGGCGGAGGGGGAACCTCATCTTTTATTCAAGTACATTTGGTACTACTAACTCGGGTCATCAATAAATGCATCAGCCAATCACAAATGTCAAAAAATGATGAGAGAAGAAACACCACCTCATCCATCAGCTAAACTCATATTAAATCCAAAGCATATCTGCCATCACACCTAAAATCTAATTATATACAAAGCATATTAGATTTCAGGTACAAGGAGCTCCTTCCACAAAACATCTAGAAGCAGCTAAAGTTCCAAGAGGCCTAGACTGCAAACCTGAGTAGAAAATAGCAGGCAGATAGTTCTGATCTGATTGCTTTCATAACCTGCAAACATAAGCTTTTATTTATTATGACAAAGTGGAGGGGGCAGAATTGGGCCACTTAAATCCAAGGATAAATAGCAGAAGGCCACAAGAGTAGCAGCTTCTAAATAGACATGGAGTGGGGCTCTCTCACATGGGAGTAAAATATTAGAAAAGGCTATATATTAAGCTTCTTTCTCTCCTTTTTTTAGCCATTTCAGCTTCCATTATTCTTCCAAAGTTTCCAAAAAACTTTTCCTAACCTCCTGTTGCAACAGTTGTTGTTTCCCTGGGTATTTTACTGGGAAAAGTTTGATTTGATTTTTTTAATTATTTTTAAAAGTTCCAGATATTGCTGTAAGATATTGTTGAAAACCTGGGGATATAAAGAAAACTGCCATGTGTGGCACACATACTGTTTGTGTCCCATCAGGTAATTCTTCCAACATTACAAATCCTCTAGCAATTTTATTAATAAACACATAGATAATTTCTTACCTGCAAAACTGCATAAGACCAGCAAGGCTCTGAAAGAAACCCACATCCTTTTTGTCCTTGAGGTAGTCCAGCATTTTCTGCAGAAAACATAAACCACATACTCAATGAATATGTTATCTGCTTTCTACATTGCTTATTATGCCAGTTGAAATAATGATGATGGCATATATGCATTACATAAAAAGGCTCACTGAGAAATATCTTGCTAGCATAAGTAGGATGGATTTTTTAATATACACCAACCCTTCTGAAGAAGGCCATCATATTTTAGACTTTCCTGAAAATAAAAACAACACTAACCTCAGCATATAGAAAACTAAATACAAAATTTAGAATGTAAAATAGTTTTCTCTTGTTCACTCTTTACAGTTTTATGGACATACACAAACAAGTTAATTTCCTAAAATACAGAACGGAAGAGAGGAAAGGTTGTTATTTCATTTTTTTTAAATATCTCTGATATTATGGTCATAGGGTTGGGGTGATGTGACAATGATGTAAGAAATGAGACAAAATAGGCAGACTAACTGCTATAAAGGAAAAAACAATGCAAAAGCACACACACAGATTGAAAAATCAGGTATTGTGGCATCATTTTCAGAAGTACCAACATTCAGAAGATGGTTATTAAAGCAATGATTCAACACTAAACCAATATTAATTTAAGCATGTATAGGCATTTTGAGGATTCAGATTATTAACAATTATTTTTTGTCAATCCTGTCTAAGGATGACTGACTCCAAAAAAGGATAACTATTTTTCAGTGAAGCACTACAGAATGTGATCAGAAAAGAAAGTGTCACCTGGGGCTGGAAGAGGTCCTGGTCAGACATAATACTGGGATTGCTTTGCTGAAGCACTTGAAGCACTACAAAAATGTAGCACTAGAGATGCAGACAAACACAACACACTCCCCCAACTGCCAAGCCCCTGCTTGGAGCACTTCCATTGTGCTCCCCAGCCACAGAGTACAAGAGGGGATTGCGTGGACTGGAGGACCAGGAAGGGATGCAGCTGAGCCTGCTACAGCCCTAGTTTTCCTGAACATTGTGTCTTTGCTTCTCCATCGTTAGCTGGAACCAGAGTCAGAGGGACTTGTAGGGATTCATGATCTTCAGCTTCAGCAGAACTCATTAACTGCTCACCCCGCTTCCTCTCCTTCCCCTCTTGGATGGATGGAGAGAGAGAAGAGCTGGAGAGAGAAGAGCTGTGGGATGCTGGGGTAAACGGGAGTCTCCGTGGACCCTATTAGAGCCACTTGCAGCCCGCCCCCCACCCATCACCTACCATGAGAAGCTCCTGCTCCAGGAAGACCCTACCACCTGACATGGAGCCAGGGTGGCTTAAAACAGGCAACAAGGAGGCTCCACTAGGGTCCACAGAGCCTAGCTATTAGGAATACACAGAAGGAATACACAGAATAACAAAAGATACTCTACCTAGAGTACCAGAATGAGACTTTCACTGCATACTCCTCTGTCCTGGGGAAGAAGTGTGCGGACAAAGACCACCTGACAAACATTAGTCATATTGCTTAATGCACTACTGGAGGATATTAGGAAATCATGGCAAGGAGAACAATAAAGAACCTATATAAAACAGTATAAACAAATGAATGGCATATGGTCAAACACTATACCTGTTGAACTGTAGAGTTTCCTCCATTTAAGATGGCAATTCCAAGCTTTAGAGTAGCTGCAACCATTGGACCCATCTCACCTTAAAAATATGAAACCAATACTTTTCAGATCATATTTAAATGGAGACAAAACCTATTCCACTAACTTATCCTGTCTTAAGACATGCACTGCATGCATTGATTTGAATAACAATATGCGGGAACAAACCATTTAAAATAGTCTCCCTTGTAAAGTAGATGCATCTGTTCTTTACCATCCTTAGTGTGTGACTTAGACTTAGTCACACCACAGAAAATGGCAGCAGTACACTTTTGAACTAAAACACCTCTGATGTGTTTTAGCTCAAAAGCATGCCACTGCCATTTTCTCAGCACCTATGCACATTTCACCACTTATATAACTGCAAACGACGTAGCTCCAAGCATCTGGCACCGAGGTGCTTGCCTGTGTAAAAATGCCCAGTTGGGATACACAGAATAACAAAAGATGCTGATTGCACAAAAAAAGAGAAGAAAAAACAAAAGACAGGAAAAACTGTGTTCAAAAAACATGAATCACTCTTCAATCATGACAGCTTCAAATAGTTGGTTCTGAGGTTGGACTCACAATTTGAAGTTGACTGTCAATTTAATTAGGTGTTCTCACTGTATATATCTGTGGACAAACTTTTGACACTTCCTTAGGGATTGACAGTGAGGTGAAGTATTTATAGCATCTAAAGAAAATTATAATGGACAGCTTTGTTTAACAAACAGTGCTGTGGGAACAGAGCACAGAAAGGAATATGGAATTGATGAATGACTGGTGCAAGGTGGTGTCTGGTTGACCAAAGCCTAAAGCTGTGTTTTAGCAAAGAACATTGCTGAGGAAGGAGATGGAAGAACAGATTGTAAGTGGGGTTGGGTGAATTTATTTGAAAAAGAACTAAAACAAACATAAAGGTCAGAGCCTGTTTCAAATGCAGAGACGCATAAAACCCTGCAATTTGGGGGCCTCGCTTTGACACTGCATACTCTCAACACACAACTATGACCACCTAAATACCTTTCTTTCACCTCCACAATATTTGGATTCCAGGCCTTGATCAGAAAAAAGTAAGAAGTTAACTTGTGAGGAATCACAGCCAAAATTTGCTGGATAAGCTTCCAAATAAGCATGCAAAATTTGGATGTATACTTGAAGAGGAACACAAACAACTTTTTCATAAAAATTTACAAATGTTTTACCTATTAGTAAGTATGATTTTTTTAGACGATAACCCCAAAGATCATAATTTAAGTGGCAGGAGTTTACCTTTGCTGGCACTGATAGTCTGAAGTACCATCTCCGCAGCACCCCGATCATGCAGTCTGGCTTGCTGGTACAGAAGTTTTTGCTTTTCCATTTCCTTTTCCTGAACACAAATCCCAATCATTTAAATTAAGGACATCAACAGCTATCAGCTCTCCAAAGATTTTTTGTTCTCTCTTAGTATATGGGCTCTATTGCAACATCATAGACCAACTGAACACAAAAAATGGTACTGATCAAATACTTAACACATGAAAGCAATATTTTCCCTCTGTATTTTTCTTTCTATACTTTTATTGCTCGGTTTATCTGGAACGAGTTGTCTCAATTGTAAATATTTAGATTAGTTCAAAACCCATAATTCATAGTATATGTACTGCATACATTAAACTTTCAATTTTATGCTATGGTTTTGTAAAACCTTATATTATTCTCTTAATAATCTTCTACATAGTGACTATTACTTGATACTGCTCAGCACGTGGCTCTTGAGTTACAAGTTGTCACCGAATAACAGAACAGATCTTGGAGAATTTTTATTTTTCCGAAATGTATAATTAATTGGCAGTAGTATATTTTGAGTGTGAATCTGACTCATAAGACAGTATAGGTTTTCCCAACCCACATCATTCCCCCAAAATATATTCAATAGAATATATTGTGCCTTTATATATTGCATTCTCTGGTGGCAACAAACAATACTGCATGGGGCTGCTTGAGAGATGGCTGACGTTTGTTCTCTATAATTCAAACTACCACTGAAAACATAAAGAGAAAATAAAAAGCAAACATAAAGGCACAGGTCATTTTAGATGCTTTCACAAGGTTAACTGGTTTGCTGGGGAATTGAGAAAGACTAAGCAGTATAAGTTGCAAAATGGAAGTTGCATAGAGCCCTATGAGAGCGAGTCCATCGGATGATGTGGTAGAAAAGCTTAGTCAATGGGACATGACACAATCAATTAGTATCATGTCCAAAAACACAATGGCCAAAACATGTATGACCTAAGAGCAGAAACAGCTGCAGCAGAGGTAGCCAGAGTGACAGCTTTGCTGCCATAAACTTTCCATCCAAAGTACAAAAAAATAGACACTGGAAGATGGAAGAGGTTTAAAAAATGAAGGCTTGCTAGATACAGAATATGAAAAGTAAAAATAATCAAGAAGAGGGGAACAGTAGAAATGAATTTAAATGAATGAGAAAAAGTAACCTTTAAATTAAAGCAAACCAACACAGACATTTATGCTGTTACCAGAGAGTTCTCGCCGAGGCTGGCAAATTTGTTTCTTAAATCTTTGATAATATCGTGCTGCGGAAACAAAATTCATCAGGGTTTTTTTTTTCACACTATTAGAGCTCCTGCGGTTAAATGTTATGTTTTTCCTTAAATTATGTGATAAATCTAAATGGTGACAAAAAAGGAAAAAAAAATATGGCAGCTTTGCTTTATATGTAGCCATGCTAATATCTGAAAGTTTTGCCTTCATGTTTAAACCTCTTCCTGTGGATTGAAAAACAAAACAAAACTACATAGACACACACATACACACATCACCAAATAATCATTACAACACAGTTTCAGTAAAACTGCAATAAAATATTTTCATCTGCTTGAGGTCACTTAAAACTGATAAACATTTTCCCTATTTTTGTTTTGTTTTGTTTTTAGACCCAACAATCTTTTATTTCTCTTCCATTGCAAGATTTATTTACTTTTGCTCCCTGCCTATATCAGCCATAATGGATTTAACATCAAGTATTTTTTACTGATGGTGCACTGACGAAAGCTTATTAGCTTTCTCACCACTCAATCATTTGAAGATCAAGAAAATGTGTAGATATAATACCAAGAATTGCACAGCAAAAGAGAAGTAGGAAGAAACTCTATTAAAAGAATTGAAGACGTGCTGGAGAGAAAGCTATTTCAAGGAGTTTGTGTGAAATTATGCCATTTAGATAATCACCAGTGACCATATGGGGCAGAAAACAAGCAGTGGATCAGTCCTTGGATATCAGCTTCCACATCTCTTATTTCCCCTTTTAGCCTGGCTACATTTTCTGCTTCTCTTTTTCTTCAACCAATACTTAAGCATTTGTAGATACTGGATGAGAAGGTCACATGGTAAGAGTCTTGCTTAATGACAACCTTCATGAAATTGCTGCTACCATAGAAAATGTACTTGACCAGGGACCTGTTGCTCAGATATTATCACCTCTCTTTCTGATATGGGCAGACTTCTACATATTGTCACCATTGCAGCTCTAGGACTAGTGTCTGTACTTAACAATGTTTTCTCAAGCTAGTAGCAAGTAGAGGAGGAATTAGTTTGCTATTTAATTTGCTCTCACATCATTCTCATAATGGCAATAATTTTTTTTTATGCTAAATGAAAAAGGTGATGATGAAAAATCAGAGATAATGTTGGGGCAGGAGGCTAGAACATGGACAATAACAATAAATCAGTTATATCTTGAATGGGTATAACTGAACACATGAACTGTGAACATTGAGAACTATGAACATTGAACTATGAACATTGAGCCTGAAGTGTTCTCACTTAAGGCTCTTTTCTGCAAGGCTCCGTATGAGTTAGGAGGTTTCCTCAATTAGCTTCTTTAAAAGCTGAGTCTGTTGAAAACTCAATTTCTGTTTCAGCTTGACTTTTTAATACATGAAAAGCATCCACATGGCAAAACCAGATGCTAAATCTGTTCTGCATTAATGTCTCCATTAAAAATTCATCTTCAAACACTTATCATGTTGCAGTATCCAAGATATACAATTTTTACATATACATAGAAAAAAAATAATTGCAGTACATCAAAATAATATTAGTTAGGAATTGCTGGCACAGGTTAATGATATTTTTATTATCAATTCCCATGTGTCCTACGCACAAAGAGATTTTTTTAAATCACCTAAACTTTGCAAGTTTATAAATGTTTTCTCTGGCTATGGGTATAACCAAGATTGATGCTGTTACCTTTGCATTGTACATTTGCTGCTTCTTTGCATTATGGAACACAAATTGTCAAAAGGTTGAGATGAGCAAAATTAGGATTTTGGTTAATCCAAACACATATTTTCTTTTGTAGAAATATATACACACTTGAAAATAGCATAAAGAGTTTGGGCTTTTGTGGTCAGTGACTTCCGTGTCATAAGAAAGTAATTATAATTTCAGTCACACCAATCCTGGAAGAATGGAGTATTGCTCCATTTACTCATTTTAGTAGTCTTATATATTTCCAAATTAGGGTGGGGCAGATGCAGTTAGTCTATAGCAAAAACTGATATTATTGCATAAGTTTTTAATTCAGGGCAGTCTTTAGGGTTAGGGACACATATTACACATAAACCGGTTTAAGTGATCAAAAACTGGTTTAAACCTGTAACAGAACAGATGTTCAGTGCACATAAACCAGTTTGAAAATGGCTGAAACCAGTTTGAGATGAACCTAGTTGAATGTAGTATCAAGACATAACTGATTTGGCTCAAAACGGTTTAGGCAATCAATGTCTGTCCCAGACCCCTTGCTGGTTTAAGATAAGCCAGAATCCCCCAGCATCCTGGCATACTCTCTGGGCTGGGCAGGGCTCTCTGCTTCACAGCAGGGCTTGCCTCTCCTCTCTGCTCCCTCAGTATAGCTCTGTCAGAGACTGCAGGTACAGCAGGGCTTCCCCCACTGCTAGCTGGACAAGGAGGAAACCTACCTCCACCTCCTATCTCCCACCATAGGCATGTGGTATACTAGCTAAAGCCAAAAGGTGTCTGTGTGTGAGCATCTCCATTTTCACTGGGACAGGTAGACAGAATAATGATGGATTATGGCTTTTGGAGTTAATCAACAGGCCAGCTGGTAAGCTGTTTAAGAAGAGTTTGAACTAATGGAGATAGGCTATTGTTTTGCTGATGAGGTGATAAACCTTGTTATCAGCCCCTGCTGGCTTGTTCCCCTGTCGGTTTGCTGCAGACTGTATAAAGAAGCAGGGAGGGAGGTTGAAAAGCTCCGTACCATCAACAGATGCATGCACTGCACACCCTGTTTGCCTCAGAGTGCTAGCAGGGGGCTTGGGTCTGGTAACACTCCTGCCCCTTGAGCAGCCAATGGGAAAAAGCCCGGGATGGTGCAGTCAGACCTCCCTAATCAGAACATCCTGCTGGAGCCTGGCCACAGCCTGCCCAGCTCAGCTCTGTGGAAGGAAGGGAGGGTTGCTCTAGTGCCCCCCGGCTTCTAGCCTGAGCCACTGCAGGCATGTGCCTGAATTTCCTCAGTCCAGAGAGAATGTCTGTCTGGCTACAAACCAGTTCAGCCTAGCTAGGTTAAACTAACCTGCAAAAATTGAATCAATTCAGGCTCAGGCTTTTTGAATGTCTGCCCCTAGCCTAGGAGGACAAGTTCTAGGCCCTAGGTTGTTTGACTGAATTATAAAAGAAAAGGAAACTGCCTTTACTATGAAAAAGATTTTTGCTTTACCTTCTCCCTTATTCGTGCTTTTGGTCATTTTAGTGTTTGTTACTCAGGCATCCAGTTAATCATCAAGGAATCAGCACACACAGAGTAAAAGGTAAGGATTCTGTTTTCAGATAATATTATTCTCAGTATGCTCTTCCTTGGATTACATACATGACTGAAGTTTACAACCAACCGAAGAATACAATACAAAAGTTGATCAACAATTTCGTTTTCAGTAGTCTTCTTTCAAGTCATCATCACTGGAAACAGAATAATGAAATTCACAAATTCTCTTTTTTGCTTATTATCCAATAGAAGTTTGCAGAGGTGAGGAAAGAACATCATAGATGTTGTGTTGTTTCCAGCAATGTGTGGATTCTATAAGATTTACAGTCCTATTGTCTTAAGATGAATGAGAGACATTTTCAAAAATAGGGTAACTGGATGATTTCAACAAAAGATATAAAAGATGTATTTATGCATAGCTTATATACACTTTATTCGTCCACAGTTCTCTGGCTGCCAGGTAAAGTCTTTATAAAAAGAGTTGCTAGAAAATGACTGAAGAGAATATTTGATGATGAAATAATTTTTGGCAAAAAAATCTGAGACCCGATAAGATGGAGTTCCGAATTGTCTTATCA